TATATTAAACATCTAAAGGTTAAATGCCTATTGTTATCACTTTTTTAAACCCTTTCCGCTCTGTGGTCACTAATAGGACCTCTTTTAGAAAGCTGATTATGGGTTTGGCCAGGCCCATACTGGGGCGGCCGAGAGGCGAAGGACGTGGCCCGACATATTCGGACGGACCACCCCCGAAAAATTCCTGGAAATATTTCGACCCGTCCGGCTTCGATTCCGAGTCCCCCAGAGCGGTAGGCTGCCACCTTAAGCCGTTCGGCCATTCGGCCGTCGCCTGTTGTTATCACTCACATCTCTGTTTTAAGAAACGTTGCTCTAAGGCTGTTCCATCGTGGGCCTGGCCGAACCCATAATGGGCTTGCTAAAAATGACACTCTTAGTGTCCACAAGGCAGAAAGAGTTTAAAAAGAAGGCGAAAAGAATCAAAAATAAAAACAAAACAAAAAAATAAATAAATAAGCAAAACGAATTTTTTCGCTAAAACGGTTTAAAATTAAATTTGAAATTATATATTAATATAATATTGATTTTGTTATTTATTCAATTTAATTTTATTTTATTCGAGAAGCGAAATTTACGTTTTCGTCGGTAGATGGCATTCCGGGAATTATCAACTTGTTAGTATACATCGTATCGTTGATGCGGGCAGATGGTCCGGAATGGATTGCGAATTGTCTTTTCGGCAGATTGACGTTTTCCCGAAAATTACGTGAGATAAAAATTTCGTCTTCGACATTCTCCAAATTTGCGTGAGTAACTTCTTACGCCCGACACAGTTTTGATGCTCGGAACTCTCCGGCTGACTTACGCATACCGTAATTAGGTTTTCGTTCTCTAATAAAACGGGATAAGACTCGGTGAATGGGTTGGCAAATGCTATAAAATAGCCAGGATAATATATATGTTTTCACTTTCATTACTTACTCTTAGGCTTCTTACGCTAAGACTGTAGCTAATAGATTTGGTGCTGGCTAAAAAGTGAAAAATACCAGTCAGAATTTTCAGCATCCCTCTACTCTGCCCAGTGATTTATTTCCAGTTATGGGACTGAAAACATTACAAGCTTTACTGCACTTTATATAAAAGAAAATAAAAAAATTAAGAAAAGGAATTTAAAATTTAATAAATGTTCTTTAAAATTCCAATCTAAAATGTTTGCTTTTCTTCTGTTAATTATTGACTGCATATTAAATTAATTTCCAAGTAACTTTTGTTAATGGTAAAGTTCTTTGGTGGGTGAAGACTGTCGGATGTGACTGCCCGACCCACTTAGGATCTGCTTGGAAATGCTTGCCGGTTTGACTGTTGAGACTGAAAATGTTCCTGTAAAGTTTCATTATTGTAAATACTGAAATCAATAAATGTACATTTTAGTTATTAAGACCAATGTTTTTATTATCCTCTTCCGAGTCAACCTCATCAATCCCTCCACTCAAAAGTCTGGTTGCTTAAGGCTTTTGAGGGGAATTATGCATCTAGTTAAGTTGTAATGCAATAAAATGTTTTTTCAAGATTTTTAACATCTTGTTTTCAGATCTACTTCAATTATTTCTAAAGCCAAGCACGTCTTGAATGTAAATTTCTATGCCGTTACCCTGCTTTAGATAACTGCAAATGGTAATTCTTGGTTATTGGATGCAGAACAGTCACTGGGAAATTATTAATAAGTAGCCCATTTATCTGTGTATATATATATATAATTCATTTCTAAATAATCCATCTACTGTTATTAATATTAGGATTCTGATTGTCTGGACGATTTAATGGAAGATTATGCACCTGTTCATCTGTAATTTCAATTTTATCATGTTTATTTTCAGATAATTCATTTCTAAATAATCCATCTACTGTTATTAATATTAGGATTCTGATTGGTTTGGTTTATCTAATTGTGTGATTCCCAATTCTGTTTTGTGATGATGAATCTGTTTATATTGGTTATGTATAAATTATTAGAATTTATATATAACCAACTAATTATAACTGGTACTAATTATTCAATAGTATTATTTTGGAATCACCATTTTGTAACTTTTAAATATTTTGAAATATGGCATGTTAATCTCCAATAAATCAGACTTGAATTTTACTAAATACTTTTTTGGATATTAGTATAAAATTTGTGTATTGATATATGTAATTTTTATTTTTATCATATTAACATTTTAATTTTTATTCATAGGGAAAAATGGGACTGAGCCCAGTTCAGAGTCTTCGGAGTTTTGCGAGTAATCAACCTCCCCTTTTAGTGTTTACGGTATGTTTGATGGCTTTTGGAATTACTACGGTAGTTCTTGCTTACGTAATAGGTGAAAATGATTTTCCAAATCCAGATATTACAATGGTAAGTGGTCCAAATGCAGGTTTTAAGAATGATCAAACTTTATATAAGCAATATACTACATAACATACAGATAAAAAAACTGTAAAAAACTTTTTTTTAAATAACCATTATAAAAGGTAGTTCAATATATTCTCTATCAACTGGATAAATAGACAACAAGAAAAAAACACCTTTAAAAATCCAGCAAATAAATTTACTAATAAAAACGTTTTTGATCGGTTTAACTGATCCTCTTCAGTTACGATGAAATAGAATGTAAATTTAAAAATAAATGATAAACCGATCAAAAACGTTTTTATTAGTAAATTTATTTGCTAGATTATTAAAGGTGTGTTTTTCTTGTTATAAAAGGTAGTGTTATGAATTCTTAGCACTTAAGATTATTATTTCTATATAATGTTTGAGATTGGAAGCACAATTGCTTACAAAGTGTTTTACTATCAATATGTCTGCACTTACAGTTATGCAATTACATTTGATTTAATCAACTGTATACTGTGTATCTGCCTATTGCTATGACCCTCAGTGACTGTGTTAAATGCAATTTGTTTTTTTCATTAATAAAAACATTATTTGTATACTTTTGTTAAATTCATTTACATCTTAATGTTTTAAAAATATTTTTATTCTAGAATATCACTTGAAAAAAATCTCATAATAAAGGTGAAAATGCTTGAATTGTGTTTCTTTTCTATAGTTTTTGTGTTCAACATTGTTCTCAAAATTGTTCTGTTTAAAACCTAACTCTGTTGTATGGTATATAGCAGGGGTGCCCAGACTTTTTACTGTAAGAACCCTAGTTACCTACCTGAAAATATTGGAAGCTGCACCTAATGTTCTTGGAATAAAAATAAAAATAAAAATTTCAGATTCATAATGTATTTATTTTGAGAATTTTGATACATTTATTACATTTTTTTTCATTTACTCTTTGCTAGTTGAAGGTTTATGAAGTTGTAATGTTTGTAATGAAATTTTTAAAGATAACATATTTTTTAATTAGTTGAGCCACAATTAAGCTTTTTAAGAACCTCATGCAGCTCATGAGCCATGATTTGGGCATCAATGGTATATAGGATATCGTGTGACTTATTTTATTGTAACACATACTTTATGAAATAATTGTTCAAGAGAGCTTTATTAAACAGAAATAAGAAGAAATAAATGAGATTGAAATGATAGCAAGAAGGTAAAATAATAAAAACAGAACAGAGTAGAAGAGCTAAGAGGAAAATAATTATAATGAAAACAGCACAAAAGATATTATAAAGGGTTATGTAACAAAAATTTTATGAATTGCAAAAAAGTATAATAGAACAAGCAATTACAGTAGAGCTTCGTTTATCCGAATCAATTGGGGACTGGGGTGGTTCGGATAACTTATTTTTCGGATAACGAATCATGTACGAAAAAATATATTAATTTATCCCATGTTGAAATTTTTCTCCGTTGCGTGCCGCTTCGCGTTGAATTTTCGTCGATGTTAAGCCTAACAAAGACTATTGTATCGTTAAAAATTATTTTTTTATTTTGTACAAACAAAATAAATTTACTGAAAAATATAAAAACAATAAAAAATTATACTTCAGATGTTAATTTAGTATCAAAAACGTAAAATATTTGAGTAGCCCGAGAAATAGCCGAAGATTGCAGCACCAGAGCACTAGCGAAAATTTAAACTTGCCAACTGGAATGCTTTCGGATAACAGATGTTTCGGATAACCAGCTTTCGGATAAACGACGCTCTACTGTACTTATTGTGACATCATCACAATGCCAGGCTGCAATCATATTTTTAATTTATATCATTTAAAATATGTTCTCTACCTTCAATTAGTAGTGGCTTGCCCCTGTACATCATCCTTTTCTGTTAGGAATGGAGTCATGCCAGTCATCTATTAAATGCTCTCAGGAAAGTTTTGAATTGAAATAACATAACTTCCAGTTTGCGTCGGAAGTTCATATATAGTTAATCGGGACATCCTGCCCCTAAGGTTTCCATATCTGGTCTTGCCTTTCATTTATCTAACTCCATTCTTGAGATTAAGAAAAGACTGACAGATGGATGGATGACAGTGGGAAATTATAGGTCTACAATTTTTTTCAAATTGCAGCCCAATAATAATAAGTGAGAAGTGTTGACTCTTTGATTTGATTAAAAAGAAAAAAGGGAAGAGATGATGCAGACAGAAATAGGTCTTAACAGTAATTAGGGATGAAAGTGAAAAAAGATAGTAGGGATATGAGAGTAAAAAATAGTAAAACAGGAGAGAGAAAATAGACATGTCCAACTATCAAAACAAGATTAATACAGTGGTACCTCAGGATACGAAATTAATCTGTTTTGAAACTGAGATCGTATCATGAAAATGTCATAAGGTGAATCATTTTTCCCCATATGATTACATGTAAAACCAAATAATTCGTTCCAACACGAAAAGCACACTCAAATTAAAGTTAAGTAGTACATTAAAAAAATAACTATAGTAAGGAAAACACTGAAAAATGCATTTTGTAGTTGTAAATGTATAAATTACCATAATAGAATAATAATTGATTAAAAAAATGTAGTTTTATTTGCACTTTACCTTTGAGGATAGACGATGGTGGAGGTGTATACTNTTAATCTCCAATAAATCAGACTTGAATTTTACTAAATACTTTTTTGGATATTAGTATAAAATTTGTGTATTGATATATGTAATTTTTATTTTTATCATATTAACATTTTAATTTTTATTCATAGGGAAAAATGGGACTGAGCCCAGTTCAGAGTCTTCGGAGTTTTGCGAGTAATCAACCTCCCCTTTTAGTGTTTACGGTATGTTTGATGGCTTTTGGAATTACTACGGTAGTTCTTGCTTACGTAATAGGTGAAAATGATTTTCCAAATCCAGATATTACAATGGTAAGTGGTCCAAATGCAGGTTTTAAGAATGATCAAACTTTATATAAGCAATATACTACATAACATACAGATAAAAAAACTGTAAAAAACTTTTTTTTAAATAACCATTATAAAAGGTAGTTCAATATATTCTCTATCAACTGGATAAATAGACAACAAGAAAAAAACACCTTTAAAAATCCAGCAAATAAATTTACTAATAAAAACGTTTTTGATCGGTTTAACTGATCCTCTTCAGTTACGATGAAATAGAATGTAAATTTAAAAATAAATGATAAACCGATCAAAAACGTTTTTATTAGTAAATTTATTTGCTAGATTATTAAAGGTGTGTTTTTCTTGTTATAAAAGGTAGTGTTATGAATTCTTAGCACTTAAGATTATTATTTCTATATAATGTTTGAGATTGGAAGCACAATTGCTTACAAAGTGTTTTACTATCAATATGTCTGCACTTACAGTTATGCAATTACATTTGATTTAATCAACTGTATACTGTGTATCTGCCTATTGCTATGACCCTCAGTGACTGTGTTAAATGCAATTTGTTTTTTTCATTAATAAAAACATTATTTGTATACTTTTGTTAAATTCATTTACATCTTAATGTTTTAAAAATATTTTTATTCTAGAATATCACTTGAAAAAAATCTCATAATAAAGGTGAAAATGCTTGAATTGTGTTTCTTTTCTATAGTTTTTGTGTTCAACATTGTTCTCAAAATTGTTCTGTTTAAAACCTAACTCTGTTGTATGGTATATAGCAGGGGTGCCCAGACTTTTTACTGTAAGAACCCTAGTTACCTACCTGAAAATATTGGAAGCTGCACCTAATGTTCTTGGAATAAAAATAAAAATAAAAATTTCAGATTCATAATGTATTTATTTTGAGAATTTTGATACATTTATTACATTTTTTTTCATTTACTCTTTGCTAGTTGAAGGTTTATGAAGTTGTAATGTTTGTAATGAAATTTTTAAAGATAACATATTTTTTAATTAGTTGAGCCACAATTAAGCTTTTTAAGAACCTCATGCAGCTCATGAGCCATGATTTGGGCATCAATGGTATATAGGATATCGTGTGACTTATTTTATTGTAACACATACTTTATGAAATAATTGTTCAAGAGAGCTTTATTAAACAGAAATAAGAAGAAATAAATGAGATTGAAATGATAGCAAGAAGGTAAAATAATAAAAACAGAACAGAGTAGAAGAGCTAAGAGGAAAATAATTATAATGAAAACAGCACAAAAGATATTATAAAGGGTTATGTAACAAAAATTTTATGAATTGCAAAAAAGTATAATAGAACAAGCAATTACAGTAGAGCTTCGTTTATCCGAATCAATTGGGGACTGGGGTGGTTCGGATAACTTATTTTTCGGATAACGAATCATGTACGAAAAAATATATTAATTTATCCCATGTTGAAATTTTTCTCCGTTGCGTGCCGCTTCGCGTTGAATTTTCGTCGATGTTAAGCCTAACAAAGACTATTGTATCGTTAAAAATTATTTTTTTATTTTGTACAAACAAAATAAATTTATTGAAAAATATAAAAA